GATGGCCCGTACACCTTCAGCAAACGGCGCGGACCTGATCCCACTCTGCCCAAGGAAGCCGAAAAAAGTATTCACGAATGGGTTGTGGGTCAACAAGTTGAGGGAGCTCCGGTTGGAAGGAAGGATATCGTCAGAAAAGCTCAACAGATTTCCAAGCTAGCTACAGGCTACCCAGTAGGCATGGGATGGTACCGTCGGTTTAAAGGAAGATTTCATGACTTGAGCTCTCGTGCTTCTCAGTCGGTGTCAAGGGTGCGCAATGCTGTGACTGAGTTGGAGGTGGCTACACTTTTCAGGTTTTTTGCTAAGGTTATCGTGGAGGAGAACATGGATGGGAGCGTTTTCAACATGGACGAAACTGCATTTGAAAGCTCTCGTAAAACCACACGGGTCATAGCACTTAAAGGATCCAAGAACGTCTGGCATACGGATCCTACTACCAGCTTTCACCTCTCGATTGTAGCGTGCGGTAGCGCTAGTGGTTTCGTCGTTCCTCCGTTTTTCATTCTACCCGGTGAGCGTGTGGAGAAAGACCTCTTAGAGCAATGCAGTATTCATGGAGCAGCAGTGACAGCTACCCCAAAGGCATTTATGACAGCGACGCTATTCGCAAAATGGATTGTTTTTTTTTCGCTTTGTCGGTGCCCACACCTGTCAAGCGACCGCTACTTCTCGTCATGGATGGCTGTTGATCTCATATTGCAACCGAAATAGTTGAGACCGCTGATCGGATGCAGATCAGATTGGTGTGCCTACCTGCCAACGGCACACACTTACTGCAGCCATTGGATACTGCCATGTTTTCTTCGTTCAAAAATACGCTCCAAGATCTTATTGATGCTATCATTCGAGCTAACGGGATTAATACTATTAGCAAGGAAAAGGCTCTTCAAATGGCCGCACTAGCGTGGACAAGTTGCAATTTCAACAGCAATATCTCATCTGGATTTCAGAGCTGCGGCATTTTTCCGTTAAATCTTGTAAAAATGCACGAGAAGCTACACAATTTCCAACACAATGGAGTTTCCGCCACCGTCAAAAAGGCTTCTTGGCTGCGATACAAGGGGACAGTACAGCACGATATCTTGCTTCTGCCTGCTCGCCAACACAAGCAGAGTAGGAAAAGAAAAACCAAGACAGTGGCTGGTAGATTGTTAGCGCGTGAGATGCTTCAGCAACCTGACCAGCCCTCCCAACGAAACGCGCCGAAGCGAACAACAAAATCGCAGAGAGACAGAATTTCTACAAAAACGACAGCGAGTGGTATGCACCACCAGGACCAGGGGCTTCATCAAAAGCAATACCACGATCACAACCACGAGAACGAGCACAAACACGAAGAGGAACAAGGCATGGAGAGCGAATTGGTGCTAGTGCAGCAGCAGTCAGAAGTTGCTAGCAGTGATACGGCTCTGTTCGAGGTGAGCTTCAAAATACTCCGGATTTTAATACACCATCTATTTTGATCCAAGTCAAGGTTATAATTTTACGTGGGTTCTAATCGGAATTTACAGAAATTCAACAGTACGTGCACGATCGTACATAAAAGCCTCTTGTCCATACTCAAGTCAAGTTTAAAATTGTCTTAAACTGGCACACGACGAAAAAAGATGGTAATTTTAAACCGCCACTGATGGCCGAATAGTACTCAATTAATGTGTTGCGCTTAACAATAAGAAAGACGAGATTCTGATAATTCCAGTCGTGGTTGTTTTATTCTCATCTTCAATGTCCGTTGAAATTTATGAGCTTTTAACCCTTTCGCGGTCAAGGGGGGCAAAATGCCCTCTTTGACAAATGTATCATTACGGTATGTGAAAACGGCGTGCCAAACAGGGCATTCTGCCCCGTTTCGTATATTTGACCAATCATATTCACATTAGTGGCATTTCACTTGGCCAAAAAATTATAAATCAAGCGACGTCAAATATTTTCGTAAAGTTTTCACATTCCTACAAAATTAACGAGTAGCGTGGGGCGCACAAGTTTTGGCGCGAACGAGCATTGGTGCCAGTGCTTAGGGTGCACAGATGGGCTGTGTTGTGCGATGTTCGAAAGCCAACATGGTGTCCTATACTGACATGGAGATCTGTTATGCTTTAGTAGTACGGGAGCGTCTTGGCGTCCTTAGGACGCACAGGTGAGCTGGTATGTGTGCTGTGCCGGGGCCATATGCTATCATGTACTGCCATGGAGATCTGTGCTGTGATTTATTAGTGCGAGGGCGTCTTGGTGTCCTGAGGACGCGCAGATGAGTTGTTCTGTGCGACGTGCCGGGATATAA